ATCATCACCCATGTGCTACAAGATGGGATACTATTTACAATTCTCGTATAAAAACTTTCAAGAAGATTGTTGATGTTGATATTGAAACGAAAGAGATAATAAATTTGGAGTGATATCATTTTTACTGTTTTAAATACTTCTAATAAAGTGTTTTAAATGTGAGACAGATATTTTTAAGTGTTTTCAATGTGTTTATAATATTAAATACTATAAATAATACGAATGGTAAGCATTTACTATTTTAAGTACCAAAAGTTATTGTTTGGAACTAAGGCAATTTAATATTTTTAGAATTGACTATCTTGATGGAAAAGTTAGAACCAATTTTCTGTTGTTCGAACTGAGTATTCGCACATGTCTCATTTGTTTGGAACTGAGTATCCAGACATATTTCATATTTATTCAGCACTAAGTATCCAAATAAACTTCATAGGTTTGGAATAAAGAATCCGGATATATATATATATATATATTTTGTTCGGCACTGAGTGTCTGAAGAAATTTCATAGGTTCATAATTAAGTATCCAGACATATATAATTTGTTCGGCACTGAATATTCAAATGAAAATGTTGCGACCAATTTTTTATTTTTTGAAATTGAGTATCCAAAGAAACCTTATAGGTTTAGAATTAAGTTTTCAAACATATATAATTTATTCGGCACAAAGTGTCCAGATTAAAAAACTATTAGACTTGGGAAGTAAAAAGTAAAATTTCTAAGATTTTTTATTGAGCGGTGCTATTAGCACCCCATCTGTTATTTTAGATCTCCTATTTTTTTTGGATCTCCACTTATAAATTTTGGAACCCTTAGAATTTTTTTTTCTCTCCCAAATAATACCAAAATTATCCTTGTGAAAATATTTCACTGATTCAATTGAATGCACACCCTCCCACACCCAAAAAAATCTCTCTTCCTAAAACCCTAACAAAACTCACGAAGAAGAAGAAGAAGAGCCAAGTGTGATTCTTGTCTATACTCTCTCTCTATCTCTCTCTCTTTCTCTCTCTGCTGCCTCATCCTTTTCTTCGGTGATTAATGTTCAATTATCGGTTCCCGAACAAATAATAAATGTTTGGTTACCGGTTCCTGAACAAATAAACAATGTTCGAACCTATATTTCTGAATTTCAGTCATATATTTGAGAGTTCAATCCCGAAAAAATGACGAGCAGATTTTATTATTTTTGTCATTTTTTTAAAGAAACTTACCCTTATAGGGCCAATCTCTTCTAAGCTAAGAACACTATCAAAAGCTATGAACTTCCTCTGAACTTTTATTGTTGTATTCCTCTCGTTTCATAGAGTTACAGTTGCCGAAAAAACTTCCACTCATTATTATTGCAGAGAAGTGTAGGTAATTAAATGGTTGCTACCATTATTGTCGGAATATTGCCGCTAAAGGGTTTTCAAAGTTTTGAGGGTGGGTAAGTTTTGAAGGTGAAATTTAGGGAAGATGGATGGGTGGTGATAAAAGTGGGTGCTTTCATGATACAATGGTATCTCAAAAAGAGATAAATAACTTTTATAGAATGAAGGATCCAAGTCTCTATAGACGAGGAGAAAAGACACTCACAATAGAGGGAAACAATTCACACAGGAAAGATTATTACATCATCAAACTAAAAATTAAGAAAACTAAACAAACAAACAAACAAACTAGATCCAAGTTGTCACCGAACTCATCTTTTACTCCATTGCTTCGCAGCCATCAAATTGGAATCTGAAGACCTTATATTCGTTGGTCAAGATCAAACATTAAAGTTGAGGTGGTCAACTAGTATAAAACAAATACATTATCTAGCGTTGGCTTTCCGACTGTGAGAAGATCTAAAACCAGATCTTAAGCTTTTAGGCTCAAGAGTGGAGAAGATAAGGCAGTGATGACTGAACTGGTGATGTAAACATCAGATAAGTTAAGAGGGGGATCGAAGGGAGGAGAAAGGAGAGGAGAGAGAGATTACATAAGTAGGAGAGCCACTGTAGTCTCTATCTTTCCTTGTAGAAAAATCTAGAGTAAAAAACAAGAGGGATTTAAGATTTAGGGAAAGGCACCAAAAATTATAGTTTATAGTATTGGGGGAGGTGCAAAACATCATATGTGCATATAATTCATAATTCATATTCATTTTAAATGTAAGTTTTACTCAAGCTCTGTTTGGGATGTTATTTTTTTGGCTAAAATAATTAATAAAGACAAAATATCATATCTTACTCATCAATCAATCATTTTTTTTCTTTCACGACCATCTATTAACTACAACTAAAATAGTCAAACCATCCAAAACATAACTTTTTTCATATCATAAAAAATAGTCAAAAAGCAAAAAAATAAACTAAAATAGCTAAGTTTCCAACAAGCCAAATAAGTTGCTTATTGACTTATTTCTGTCACATCACTCTTACTTTTTTGCATGATTTTTTTTATAATAAATCAAAAAATAAGTCATACCTAACCTCGCCCTAAGAATATATTAAAATTTTTTTTTTTTGAAAGGGACCTTAAGAATTAACAGTTAAATTTAAATTCATATTATTTTTCTAAACTATTTTTAAAGCGAATTACACTAACGATCCCTATAATTTGGGGCTTGTGTCACTTTGGCCCTTGACTTTTTAATTATGACACATTTACCCTGAATTTTAAATCTTGTTCTAAATAAGGACAATTGAAGATATCATTATTGAATTTCAAAGGCAAAATTGTCAATTTGATAAAATATAAACTAATTTGACAAAAATAAATGTCCAAAGAAATATTTTTGAATTTTTAAAAATTATTTCTATCCACTAAAGATAAAATTATGTAAAATTAATAAATCTTTTAGATATTTATTTATTTTGCCATGTGTTTGGATGATGATCATGTAATGAGTGGTTGTAAGGATTTTAATGTGTAATCAATATAATTGATATATGAAATGTTTTTAATTTTTAATTTTTTGATTTAATGGGTTGGTTTAATAATGATATCAAAGTTGTCGCCATATTTGATTTTTAGAAAAATAGAAACTAATTTAATGAAAATAAAAACAACCACTCATTACATGATCATCATCCAAACACATGGCAAAATAAATAAATATCTAAAAGATTTATTAATTTTACATAATTTTATCTTTAGTGGATAGAAATAATTTTTAAAAATTTAAAAATATTTCTTTGGACATTTATTTTTGTCAAATTAGTTTATATTTTATCAAATTAACTATTTTGCCCTTGAAATTAAGCAATGGTATCTTTAATTGTCCTTATTTAGAATAAGATTCAAAATTTAGGGTCAAATATGTCACAATTAAAAAGTCATAAATCAAAGTGACACAAACCCTAAATTATAAGAACTGTTAGTGTAATACGCCCTTAATTTTATGTACGAGTTTTAGATCTATAATTGTATTGTTTGTAGGATTGTTCTCGTCTTCCTTTAGTTGTCTTAGAGTACTCTTACCATTACCAAAATTAGTGGATGGCACACGCGATACGTGTGTAATTTAAATAGGTAATAATAAAAAAAATTATAATGAAATTAATGTTATAATGTATACCTGGTTTAAGTGGTATAAGTCCTCACACCTTAAATTCATGATCATGGATTCAAACCTTACCCACTTCTTTGTGTGACTTCTTTAAAAAATAAAATAAAAAATACTGTCATTTAAAAATAATATAGATAGATATTTGATCATTTGAAATTCCCAGTCTCTCACAAATATTAAAAAAATTAATGATTTATGTATACTTTTTTTTCGGTGTTCTTATCTTATATTTTAGCTGTCTTATTTGCCAGCAGTATTTTATACCTTCTGTTTGGGTCAAAGTTTATTAATTATTAGTAATTTATATTTGAAATGTGGGTTTAACAAGTATTTAAATCAGCACTAGACATATGAAACAAAGTTATAGATCATTTAAAATTGTTATTTTATTTAAAGGTTTAGATTTGTATATGTTAGCTCTGCAAAAAAAAATAAAAATTAAAATAAATTAAAAAATAAAAAACACAAAAATACAAAATTGACAGATGAAGCAAACCCAAGTCTCCTTATCAAGCAACGGCTTAGATCTTGCTGGCTATTTGTACCAAAATACAAAACAATAAAAATAAAAATGATTCAATAATCAAACTCTATATGAACTGGCCAAGTAAACCACGATTTAGGACACGAGTTTTTTTATTAAAGCAAGGTTAAGAGTGAACAAGATTTATGGGAAATTATTCAATATTCCTGGAACACCACGTGTCCATACTTCAAACCAATCACCAATTAGTTAGCCCCATATTGTTTCCCCATTCCCAACATAAATCGTAGGCCCTTGTGTCTTTTCACCAATCAAAAGCTCATAGAGCACCACGTGTCCATACTTCGGGAGTACTGAGTAATCACCCCAAAATTCATATAGTGTTATCCTTAGGCTAAGGATTCCTTTGACACTAGCCCATAAGTTTTTTTTTTTGGCTTCCTTTCACCATTTTTTTAAAAAAAATTTAAATAGTTTACTGACGATGAAAATAAGTTGAGTTTTATATTAAAAAAGAAGTCCATTTTTAATTTTAAAATTGTTTAAGTTCATCTAGTTTAAATGAACTTAAAAAAATAATATACTGAAAAAAAGAAAAAATAAACTTAAGGAATAACGCAATTTATAAACTGCAGTAAAAAATAATAAATAAATAAAAACTCTAAATTTAGATGAAAGAAATTTTTTAGGAAATGAAAATGTGATGATGACATAAACCACTTGTATGAAAACATGTGAATTAAAATGTTAGATTTTTATTTTTATTTATTTATTTATTGTCTTTAACAATGAGAATAAATTAGAAGAGAGAAAAATGTCTTAATCATCAAGTGGAGTGCCACAACATGAACTCCAAAAAAAAGACAGACTCTATTTTAATTTGCAAACAAACTTAGTTGTATCAAGGGCGTAATATGTGGTAGAAGCATGACAACAACAACAACAACAACAACAACAACAACAACAACAACTCCCAAAAGGTGTATATACATATAAATACAAAATCTCAGTCTCAATAGTTCATAAATTTCACCAATTTGAGTTATAACAAAATCAAATTGATTCATCACAAATATACCACGAAGGTCATTTTGACTCATAACATAACAACACAATCTCATAATCCAGTTCATAATCAAATATCACAAAGTCTCGTATCACAAGAGCAATGCCAAAGGTACTTGCACTAAAAATTTCATAAGAGAGAATGTGTATTGTAGAATTTTCCAAACTCTAAAACCTCTCTTCTCATGTAAAAGGTTTGGATCAACAATTAAGACAGAAAAAATAATATTGTGGTACCAAACAAAAAAATTTAAAAAACATATTGTCTAGATTTTACTCACCAAAAACACCTATTCTTAATATTTTTGTGTGTTTAAATTCTTGATTTATCCATAAAGAACCCTACAAGGGTTTCAAATTAGAAAGGCTTACAATCAAAACCAAAACCACTGCACTCAGCACTACCAAAAGCATCAGCCACCACAACACCGTTGGAAGCCAAGAAATTCGCTGGAAAACCGCTCGCTGCCACCGCCATCTCATCAGCCCTAGCCAATAAGTTACTCTTAAGAACTTCCAATGCAGCCACATACTGCTCAAGCTCATGCAACTCTAATCCCTCAACACTCTCATCCCACCAAAACCCACCTCCTCCTCCGCCGCTGTTCAACTCGGCCACCGCCTTTCCTCTCTCCTTCTCCGCCTCCAACTTCCCCACCGCCTTCACATACTTCTTACTCAATTGCTGCACTTGCCGAACCTCCTCCTCGTGACACATGTCCAAACACTGAGAATTAGGGTTAGGGTTAGGATTCTTACTCACTCGATGGCGCTCCGAGCACTGAGAGTTAGAATTAGGGTTAGGGTTAATACTTTGCTGATGCACTTGATGGAGCTCGTCATCATGACACGTGTCGAAACCATGGGAATTAGGGTTAGGATTAGGGTTTTCGGAGAGAAAGCGATCGATGACGGAGTCAACAGAGGGGTTGCCAAAGGCGAAGACCTTGCCGGCAGGGGAGGTGACGATGACGGCGACGTGGGCGCCGCACAAGACGCCGAGTTCGCCAGCTTTTTTGAATATTCCGGCACGGCGCTTGGAGAAGGTAACTTGGAGCTGGCTTTTCTTCTCTATCTTCTTGATTTCAATCTTTTGGCGGCCCATGCTGTGTTTTTTCTGCTTGTTTTCCATGAATTGATGGGTTAGAGTTTGGAGAATATGGATTCTAGGGATTGTTAAGAAAGAAGAAGAAGAAGAAAGCTTGATTTATAGTTATTGTTTGTGTCTAGATTTTGGAAGATTTGTTGCCGGTACCAAAAAAAAAAAATTTAAAAACATATTGTCTAGATTTTACTCACCAAAAACAACTATTCCTAATATTTTTGTGTGTTTAAATTCTTGATTTATCCATAAAGTACCCTACAAGGGTTTCAAATTAGAAAGGCTTACAATCAAAACCAAAACCACTGCACTCAGCACTACCAAAAGCATCAGCCACCACAACACCGTTGGAAGCCAAGAAATTCGCTGGAAAACCACTCGCTGCCACCGCCATCTCATCAGCCCTAGCCAATAAGTTACTCTTAAGAACTTCCAATGCAGCCACATACTGCTCAAGCTCATGCATCTCTAATCCCTCAACACTCTCATCCCACCAAAACCCACCTCCTCCTCCGCCGCTGTTCAACTCGGCCACCGCCTTTCCTCTCTCCTTCTCCGCCTCCAACTTCCCCACCGCCTTCACATACTTCTTACTCAATTGCTGCACTTGCCGGACCTCCTCCTCGTGACACATGTCCAAACACTGAGAATTAGGGTTAGGGTTAGGATTCTTATTCCGGCACGGCGCTTGGAGAAGGTGACTTGGAGCTGGCTTTTCTTCTCTATCTTCTTGATTTCAATCTTTTGGCGGCCCATGCTGTGTTTTTTCTGCTTGTTTTCCATGAATTGATGGGTTAGAGTTTGGAGAATATGGATTCTAGGGATTGTTAAGAAAGAAGAAGAAGAAGAAAGCTTGATTTATAGTTATTGTTTGTGTCTAGATTTTGGAAGATTTGTTGCCATTGTTGTAAGAGAGAAGACAGAAGAATTAAGGAAGTTTATTTTTTCATATATGGAAGTCTATGAAGTTTCTTAATTCGAACACTATAGAGCTTGTGTATCACAATGAGGTGATATTTTAGACAAAGCCTATGCACCCATAAAAACATAAACAAAAAATTGAACCAAAAAAGTAATGTGTGACATTTATTGTTTGTATAGTGGGGTTCATATGAAATTAATTTCAACTATTAAATGTGTATTTTGGATTTTTTTTTTTTAGTATTTTTTTTTTGGGGGGAGGGGGGGATGGAGAACTCCTCCCTGGATATGTATATTTGATTTGATTTTCATAATCTATTTTTAAAAATTAAAAATTAATTTGATGAAAAAAATAAAATTAGTTATAATTTTTATATAATTTGGCAAAAAAAAATTTCAAAATTTAAAAAATATCTTTTTGATGATATGATTATTTTTCTATTTTCTTTATACTTCAAGAATTTCATAGTCCTCTTCATCATCAAGGCAATATGATTTTCATCATGCCGCATAATTATTATTTGCCTTGAATTTAAATCTAAAATTTCAATCCTTTTGACATTACAATATTTCCTTCGAAATAAAAAATAAGCCAACAGTTTTGATCAATATTCAGCTTAATTGGCGATAAAAACCCAAAAATTGGGCCTAAACACTATATCAAATTGGACAATTTTCAGCTATTTTTTGGAGGCCTTATGTGTTTCGGCGAAGCCCATATGGCCCATATTACTAATACCTCCTTGAATTGCTGGCATGTGGCTAGTCCGAAACCATGTCAAATTGCGCCAGTTTCATCTATTTTCTGGAAGGCCTAGTAGTTTTGGCGAAGCCCAATGGGCCATATCATTTGGGCCCCTAATAGCAAAATAGTCCAGTCCAAAACTATACAATATTGGACAATTTTGAGCGGTTTTCTTGGAGGCCCGAATGGCCCATTGGCTAGCTTGTAGATGCGATTTTATTCCACGTCATGTCAATCACTTAGAGTTGACATAATAACGACTTCAATAATGTTACATTTTTGAATTTATCACCTTTAAATGATTCTTAATGGTATAGTATTGAAATCAAACTTATATATTAAAATATTTAATAAATTAAAATTTGACACTTGTCATATATATCATTAAGAATTGTTTTTAGGGTTGATAAATTAAGGGTTGGTTTGGGATGTCCTAAAAAAATTATCATTTGGGCCCCTAATAGCAAAACTAGTCCAGTCCAAAACTATACAATATTGGACAATTTTGAGCGGTTTTCTTGGAGGCCCGAATGACCCATTGGCTAGCTTGTGGATGCGATTTTATTCCACGTCATGTCAATTACTTAGAGTTGACATAATAACGACTTCAATAATGTTACATTTTTTAATTTATCATCTTTAAATGACTCTTAATAGGATAGTATTGAAATCAGACTTATATATTGAAATATTTGATAAATTAAAATTTGACACTTGTCATATATATCATTAAAAATTGTTTTTAGGATTGATAAATTAAGTGTTTTAAGTATTTTTCTAATGACTTGTTGATTAGCAAAGTGAAGTTATTTGATGGTGTTGAAACATGGTCACCTGATGTTCTAAAAATATTGTAATTGGTGAAAAAAATTTACTTTTGTGTTGAATGATGAAAAATAACAAAAGACATAATATTTAGTGATTGGGAACAGTATTGAGAGGTGGTGCCTCCCGATTACGAAATAATTTTGGGTTAGGTGAGGGTTGGTTTGGGAACATATGTTTTTAGTAATTTTTTTATTATAAATATGAAATGAGAAAACTAAATTATTTATAAAATGTATTTTTGGAATTTTCACAAAAAAAGAAGTGTAAAAAATGTGAATAAAAATAAAAAAATTTAATTTTTATATGGCTTATTGATTTTTTTTTTTTTACAATATTAGAGTTCGTTTGGGATGTGGATTGGTTTTTTGGCTTTTTTAGCCTGGGGTTAAAAAGTCTCATTCATGAGATAGATTTTTTTACTTTTGTGAAAGAAAAAATAAAATAATTATGAATTAGATGTGATATTTTGTCTTATTTAGCTAAAATAATCAATTTTGTCTTATATGGCTGTTTTAATCCAAACTTGCTTCCCAAACAGAGCCTAAATTGTCAAACTCTTTCTCAATTTTTAGTACAAATACATTCATTTTTTTTTAATCTATATTAAATAGTTAAACAGTTTGTTTTGTTTAACTCTTTTATCACCCCTAAAAGCATTTCAAATGCTTACTTTAATTTTTTATTACATTTGAGTAAAAATTTGATAAAATGTTTAATTTGATACTTTGCGTTTCAACACTAATTGTTTAAGTTTGATTAAATAATCAATTGATTGGGAGATAACCAACAATGGGCAAAACAATGAGCAACTTTACAAATACCCAGTTGTCTGGGAGACGGACAATCGATTGGTTGTTCGGTGTACGGTGAAGCGCAATGGCTCTCTTCAAAAATTTGATGAATGTTGAAATCTCATTTGATTTGATACAATTTTTGTTTTTGCCCCTCATATGGGCCTTGTTTAGGAATAGACTATATTAGTAACTTTTTGATTTTTTGACTAAAGAAAAATGGTTGAGAGCATGAAAAGTAGTGCTCTAATAGCATCACTAATGATGTGGCAGTGGGCTATGCCTTTTTCTTTTTTTTTTGACTTGATTTGATACAAATTTTGTTTTTGCCCCTCATCTAGGCCTTGTTTAGGAATAGACTATATTAGTAACTTTTTGATTTTTTGACTAAAGAAAAATGGTTGAGAGCATGAAAAGTAGTGCTCTAATAGCATCACTAATGATGTGGCAGTGGGCTATGCCTTTTTCTTTTTTTTTTGACATTCCCAATGCATTAGTGCTATTAGTGTTTTTTTTAGTGGTATGAATCATTGTTGTTTGACTAAAATATGAAGTAAAAAAAAAATTAATATGTTTGGAATATTTTTTAGTTTTTTATGAAAAAATTTGCAATATATATATATATATGTTTGGCTTTTTAGTATAATTTATTGACTTTTTGATTTTTGTAATGACTTTTTGTTTTTTTAGGCTAAAATTAAATGTTGTCAAATGAAGTCTTAGGCCAAGTTTGGGAAGACTAAATAAGTGCACTTTTTGACTTTTTATGAAATATGGGTTGGATTTGGGTTGGGTTTGAAATGATGTGTTAGAGAGGTGATCTGACTTAAATGAGATGATGTGACTTAAATAGGATAGTGACTTTTTAACTTTTTAGATTTTTTAGAAGATGCCAAACTTGGCCTTAATATAGGTTTGATGCCATGATTAGAGGAAAGAAAGTAATTAATGTGTTTCATTAAATTTAAATTTGATTACCAATTTAAGGGCTATTTTGGGAAGTGAGTTAAAAGTTATTTCCCACATTTTAACCCACTTCCCTCTCTAATAAAAAAAGTCAAAAAAAGTTAAAAGTAATTTTTAAGGAAAATGTTTGGTAGCTCAAAATTTTATGACTCAAGTGGCTTAAATCACTCAAAACGATGTCGTTTTATACTTATTTTTTTTTTTTATATTGTTGAATTTTTAACCATCTTTTCAAAACACCCCTAAGTAGGTGTTAGAGACGGTCTAACAATAAGCCATGTAATCTCATTTAAAAATTTTATTTATATAATAGCATAAATTTAAAACCTTCTTATTTCAAATTTCTTTTAATTTACGTATCGTTTGGGCAGTAATAGTTTTAACATAAAAATAAAAAAGTTAATTAAAAAACTTATAACCTATGTCAAAAAATTATTTTTTTTCTCTATTTTTTTTGTATATTTTTTCATAAAAAACTAAAAATTATTTTAAATATACAATTTTTTATCTCATATTTTAATTAAAAATTAAAAAATTATTAAAATATTATATTCCTGGACTTAATTAATTTGATATGAAAGAGTGATTTGGGATGATCTAAATAAGTGTACTTTTTGATTTTTTATGAAATATGAACTGAGTATGGGTTAGGTTTAAAGTAATGTGTTAGAGAAGTAATATGACTTAAATAAAATGATATGACTTAAATAAAATAATGACTTTTTAATTTTTTAATTTTTAAAATTATGCCACAAAAAAGGCCTAAATTTCACACTCAAACCACTGTCCTAGTTTAGCATATTCACCACATACAAACCCCATTAATCGAAGTGGACCTTTTTTATTAGGTCAATCCCCATTTTCATTTTTTATTAATATTATTATTACTTTTTTTTCTCTTCCCAAAAGCTTGAAAGCCACCACCCGCGTGTGCGTGTGCGTGTGCGTGCGATGCGAAAGCGTCAGACAGACCACAAATCACTCTCTCTCTAAAACCAAACCACACCCCAAAATCACCCAAGCAGATCTACCCTTTTTTTCTCACTTTAATAGTTTCTTTGTAAAGTTTGTATTTAATGTTGATTATTTTGATTGTAATTCATTGGACTTTATTGTAGTATTCTATATGAATAAGAAAAAAAAAAAAACCAAAAACATTTATAAATAAACATCAATATGATTTACAATTAAAATTAAAAAAATTCATAAGAGAGAATGTGTATTGTAGAATTTTCCAAACTCTAAAACCTCTCTTCTCATGTAAAAGGTTTGGATCAACAATTAAGACAGAAAAAATAATATTGTGGTACCAAAAAAAAAAAATTTAAAAACATATTGTCTAGATTTTACTCACCAAAAACAACTATTCTTAATATTTTTGTGTGTTCAAATAGCGTCAGACAGACCACAAATCACTCTCTCTCTAAAACCAAACCACACCCCAAAATCACCCAAGCAGATCTGCCATGAAAGAAACTTCTTCAAAGGGTATCCACTTTGATACACCTCCTCTTCACTTCACTTTCTCTCTCATCTAGTATATACCTACCTATATCTATACATATACATATACATATACATTTTCATGTATATATGTGTATGTGTGTGTGAAGTCAGAGAAACTAGAGAGAGATTGTGAGGAGGAGGAGGGGGGCAGGGGGGAAAGGAGATGATGATGATGATGATGTTCGAATTGAGATGCGGAAGTTGTTATCCCAAGACCTTTGTTGGTGTTAATGCCGCTCTTGCTTGTATCGATGCGTCAATTGCTGTTCTCGCCTTCTATCAGGTCTACATTGCACTCGCAATATATGTATATATATGTCAAAAACATTGATTTTGGTTTATAGGGTTTTTTTTTTTTGGGATCATTGCATGGAGTTCTATGATGTGGTATTGGTAGACTGATTATTTGGGAATGATGAGATTAGTGAAAGCCCTTGGTGTTTCTTGATTTTGATTGAATGTTTTATTTGATGGGTAATTTAATAATTAAGCCATTACATGGGTAATGGTTTTATGAAGATGTAGTAGTGAGTGTGAAAACCAATAGTGCAATGTAAAGCTTGGAATTTTTTGAGCTAGGGGGTACATTTGCTAG